ATACAATGATATACAAGGTATACATGATATACAAGCTCCTACAATGATATACAGTATAAAAATATGAAATTATATTTTACAAACAAACAAAAAAATTCATTTAGAGGGTTTAAAAGCTTTTTGTAATCACTTGTGTATGTTAAATACTCCTTATTTTTCCTACTGTAGAGCAATAATTTTCTGGAATGGGATACAGAAATTGAGAGTAGTAATTATGGCAAAAGTAATTCACTACAACAGAACACGAGAGACCTTAGCGGCAGCTTTCCATTTCCATTCTCTCTATAGAAGGTTATGCTACCCATCTGTAAAAATACTAAAGTTCCTCTTCATTTACTAATCTCATCAGCTGTCTGAATAAATGCCAGTCCCAACTTCTGTCTTAACATCAAGTCTTCCCTCCTTGAGCTCTGATGTCTGTCACAATCGGGTTATACCTAGCAACTACCACAGAATTGTAAACACAAAAACCTTCAGTGCTCAAGGTTATAAAATATAAAAGGAGTGCCAACTACCAAAATAGGTTAAAAAGCAAACAAAAAACCCTCCAGTGCTCAGTTGATGTGTTTACGGATTAAGTACATTCCCTAGGCTGCACTTCAGTGTATCTTCCTGGCCTAGTTGTGATACCTGTACTGTACTTACGGGTACTGTCAATGCCACCTTTGTTTCAACTGAACTGCTTCTCTCTGTAGCTACTGCTTACTTGTCATTCAAGCAAATTCTGGCGTCTCCTGTGGAAGCTGTCCGTGATGATTTTTTATTTATTTATTTTCTACTAAATTACACAAGACATTCCTTGTTAAGCAAAGAAAAATAATGTGTGTTTAATCTACATGATCACGCCTCCTACAAGATCTAAAAGGGAAACAAACATAACAGCACAAAAAGAGTTTAACAAATTTGTCCTTCTGCTACCTGTTTCAACATACAGTATTTTAATGACTTTCTTACCGTGATCTTCATTTCTATCACTAGTGAATGCTACCATAAATACAGTGATAGGACAGGAAATGACTAATGATTGCTTAATACAGTATTTATGTATTAAGTACAGTACTTATGCAAATATAGACAAAGATAACACCATGATCAAATAACTGAATTTATTCCATTCCCCCTGTTTAAAAAGACTAAAGTCATCTCTGGCTACCAGGTAGCAAAAGCTTCCTATTTTGTTTCTTCTTAATATTTGATCATGCACTACAGCAAAACTGAGTTGGCTGTGCATAAATCTCCTTTTGCTTATTTAATTTGTTTTGTGCATTATGATGGGGATTATTATTTTTCTGCTAGTGGGAAAAATCACATCACTCTTGGTTGTAGACCCCTGCTGGATTCTATTAACCCTGGTTATGTCAACCTTAATAACATGCCACTGTACTAAGCAGGATTGGATTTATTCTGGTAGGTTTTCTGGAAGTCATAATGCCTTGAATTATTTACTTTTACAATCATGTTTCATTGTCTTATTTTTATAAATGAATAAATAAAAAAATATGCATACTAGAAGGGATCAAGAAGCGCAGACAAGATGAACTGAGGTTACCAGCATTGTATTTTTATTATCAGGGTAGCACTTTTTTTCCCATTTCCTAGTAAGACCATGGCATTTGAGTTTTACAAATTATTGCCAAGTATTAAAAAGCAGCTGCAGAATATCTCAGAATTGTGAAGAAAAGGGCATTTATCCCTTCTCTGTTATTTATATCTTAGAGATACAGGAATGTTACACATTCAATGTTGGAGTGGTAAAAGTAAACTAACAATCATCAAATTCCTGGCATTATACTGGAGATTTTAAACTATTATTTGTAGTTTGTAGTTTGTGTTCTTGGTCTTTAACAGTAACTGTACTGCATGTTACCAGTGCCTCACAAACTGAATGAAGAATGTTTTTGAATGCCGCTATTGCAAGTCACTTGCTAATAATCTCGTGTTGTGTAATGTTTAGGGCATTGAAAAAATAAAATGGGATTGACATTTTAATAACCATTTTTTTAAAGGAGAGAGTAACTATGTTAATGTGCCAGTTTATACAAGAAAATTTCCCTCACGGCAACTGGCAATAAGCGTGCACATATGACACAGTAGCAAAAACTGCTAAAAACAACAGTATTTTTTCACGGTAAATTAGCATTTTCGTGTGAGATTCAGTGAATTTCTCGTGAAACTAAAGCCCACTTACTAATGTAAACACCGATTTCATACTGGAATGTTAATGAACATCTTTAAGTGCTTCCTCTAAAGCCACAGTACAAGTCCCATGGGGATACGGAAGTAATCATGGATCAAATATATCAGCAGCTAAGCTAATCGTATAGTTTTGGGGCAGGCAGCAGTGGAGTGGAGTAGTGGCTCAGTCACTGGACTTGTAATTGACAGTTTGTGGGCCCAAGACCTGGGTGCGGCATTGCTGATGTATCCTTCAGTAAGGTACATCACTCAGATTACTATATATTACTATACCCAACTGTATAAGTAAGTGTAAATCACTTAAAATAAAAGTGTGAAACCATCAGCCAAAATAATAGTTCCTTATCAAACTGATGCAGCTGGTAACCCACTATTTTTCTGTCTTCACTAAGACTACGTCCAGACTAATACTATTACTCTCTATACTACTGACTTAAATGCATATCATACACAAATGCATGAAGTCTCAGTTTTATGCTTTTTTCTAAAAATATGAAATTATTAGTAAATGTTACTCAGGCAGCCCAAAATGATTCCAGGCACTCTCTCATTTTCTGCCTAGAGGAGGCATACATAGCTCACAATTCAGTGAAAATGATTTTCAGCTTTACTTGCAGCTTTTAAAATATATATGCAAAGAATTGCTATATAGCCTTAACAGCCATATCAATTATGGCTGAAATCAGTGCGGTCAACAAACTATTAAAAAAACATAAGCACAGTTTATCAGCAAAACAGATTTCATGAGCAATAATATGCCCAAATAAGAAAATGAATGTCAGAATGTTTATTGAGGAGCCAGGAATAAGAAGCTTTGTCTTACGCCACCTGGCTATACAGTAGGAGAAGGGCGTCAGGACCCCCATACAGAGAGAGGTTAACCAAGGAAATGCAGCAAATATGGAGATGTGGTGGTGGGGGAAAGCATATTTTAAGCTTTTTAGGAAGCAATGACTTGGAGACTTATGAGTTCAAATATGAGGAGAGAGACACCTTAGTTATTACCCTCTGAACTTTAGGTTCATTAATTCACTTTTTTTTTTAAACCTGATATCATGTGGCTTTGGAATATTCTCATTTGGAATATTCCCTTATTTGCAAGACATTCAGGGAGGCATAGATGTTTCTAGGAAAATGAGAAGCTTTTCATGGAAAACGCTAAAGTTCTTGAGTAATGAAACATACACACAGAATCCACGCCTTTCAAATAGTTTCTATTGCTTCCTATTCAGATTAATGCAAGTATTCATTTATTTTTACTGTGTATACAGATGCATTTTATTGGGTTACACAAATAATCTATACTGTAAGCAGTAAAAAGTTGATTTTTCCTCATATAATATCTCGTTAATATTAACATTCACTTGAATTTTCAACTAATAATCATATCAATACACATGCCATCTGATCCTCTCTAACAAATATTTCACGTAAGCAACAGTCATTAAGATTGATTATTAAAACTATCTGAAACTTAGAGAAGACATGAAAAAATGACCTCCCAAACAGACTGCACCTCAATTTTTTTTCTTATTGCAGTAGCTAAACTTTTGCCTTTGGGTTACAAATGTTGCCTTGATAGTGCAGACTATGGCTCCTGGCACTGTATCATAATCTTAGTCTTTTGTAACCCTCTGGCAATAGTTCACAGCAGTTACTCCCAAAAGCAACTCCTGTTTGTGTACAGTCTAAAACAGCAACCGAATCCTCACATCCCAAATGAGAAATAAAATGAACTGTTAAGAAGGAAAAGAGAAACACAGTACTATGTCCTCTGAACCGCAATACAGGTACATTCAGTTATATTTACAGTCTGACGCAGATGTCATCTTGTTTTTTTATACATGAATATACCGTTTGAGTCAGATACAGGAATGAGCGTGCAGAAAAGGGCCACTGGCCGAATATGCCCACCACGAAGCCTGCAGGAGAAGAATTCTGGGATTGTACAGTGTCTGAAAGTGTTAAAATGGGCATCATGAATGGAGAAACCTAAAGGATCTAAAGATGCATTTAGAAAACGTTATGCTCTGAGCTTCCTTCCAATTGGATCAGGATACAAAGAGATCTAAACCTTTGTTTTAACATAACTGTTTCAGTGCATCAGTTCTTATATCATATCCTAAAAATACTATGCTGTCACAGGACAAAACATATTTTAAACAAGCTCTGTGACTAAATAGTAAAGACAAATAACTGCCTGAAAAAACACTGTAATCGACAGATTCAATAAAACAATGACAGCTTACATTTCCAAGATAGCCGATTTCCTGTATTACAGTATATGTGCTGTATTAGGACGGCTTAAAAGTACACTAAAGTCAGAATTTTGGATTCGCAAAAGAAATATCCAAATATAGACTAGCTAACAGCAAGGGATTTAGAAAGTAAAAGAGGAAAAGCAGAGGTTCGTCCACACCCCTCCCCACTCCAAACTCCAAATGAATTTATCTGAAATTACATTTACAGTCACTGAAACCAACAGCTGATGAGTTCAGAAGCTTCTTATTTGGGCATCTTAAAGCAGTTGTTGGTAAGTCTTCAGAAGCAACGTAAAGCTATAGTATGGTGCAATTAGGGTCATGAAGGAGGAGCCCGGCTCTTGTCAGTATTCATTTCTAAAGAAGGCAGCAGTCTCTGCTTTTTCATTGGCATCTCTGTTTCTTTCCTCCTCCTCCCCCCCCCCACTGCTGCCTGACCTTGACACAACCACCACGTAGTGCCCCCGTCTCTCACTGGAGGCAATACTGTTACAGCCATGTGAACAAATAAGTGTAACGCACAGGCAAAGACGGTGCTTGTACCTTAGGTAGTCCCGTCGGCAGAGGATCAGGTTGGCTTTTGTGTAGAGTGTGGAGCCCACCTCGCCAAGACGGCAGTCACAGCAGGCACACTTCAGGCAGTCCTCATGCCAGTACTTGTCCAAGGCCTTTAGAAGATATCGGTCTTTGATTTTTCGGTTGCAGCCAGCACAACCTTTTGGCTTGGTGTCTGGCTGGACTGAGAGCATTTGTATACCTGCGGTATAGAGACAAACGAATAACAGCATACGGTTATTCTTATTTTCTGTACAAATTCTTTTCTCTTACAGTACAGTGTCAGGAGGCTACCGATTCATTCAGTGCCGTGTAAAGAGCCTATGCATCAGTCTGATTTCAGGATGCAAGAAGTCCAAAGTGGTCTTCAGGCATAAACCAAATATCAAGGTGTAAAGCAATACACAGAAAAAGTAAAAAAGGAAGTATGTCTTAAAAAGATTAAGACCACACATGTAGAAACACTAAGGATCAAATTCTTAAATGTTTAAATGCTTCATACTGTGGTTCATGATGTTTGCCTGACTTTCTGTTTAGTAAAGTTACACTACCGTATATCATGCTGAACCATAACTCTGAGACTTATTTCTGTTTAAATTTCTGACAAAGAATAATATACAAATAAGATCTACTTAAAAAAAGGCATGTTCATCCAGTTCCAGATTTTCTTATATTAAAACATTTCTACCCATGCCTTGTTTGCTCGGGTGCAAAATTTGAGGTACAACCAGGAGAGAACATTTCACAGTGCAAGAAAGAGCTTGAAAGTCTCCCTCCTACAGTATGTCTTCTTAGGCTGTGGGCAGAAAACCCCCAACCCCAATAGAAATCTTACAGCACAATAGTGCAACACCAGCAAAGATCTGGGTCAGCAATGCCTCTATAAGTACAACATCTCTGCTTTGGTTAATTCCAGTGTTATTAAGTATTTTGATTTCCTGATGTGGTCTTTTGTTCTTTTCTTGATGCTTACATACACTATGTTTCAAAGTGTTGTGATTATACTTTGGTATTCTTTAATATACAAGGCGGTATGCACATCTAACATGTATATAAACTTTATATTTTATAATAAAAAAACAGAAAAGACCACATCTGCCAACCCTAAAATGCACCAAACTGAATTTTTTGAACAAGGTGAAAACCAGCTACTTTATCAAACAAGAGCCTTCTACCAAAAATATACAAATAATAATAAGTTAAAAATACTCATTTTAGAAACAGTACAGGTAATAGTATAAGTATTAAACATAATCCTTTCCACTTAGAACATATTTAAGAAAATAAATATATTTAAACACCTAACATTACAGATCCCGACTGCATTTCTAAAATGTGATTTGTATACTCATGATTTTGAAATTTACACAAGCACAAAGCTCAGACTGTCCAATGTTATTATTTTTTTTAATATATACCTTCTAATTCTAATTTTATGTCTGTTTAGATAAATCAACACCATTCACCTAGGTTATATTCTGCTTAACCACTGACAGTAACCTATATAGAAGGCTACAAAATAAAGAAATGTAGATTAAAATACAAATTAAGTGAAAATTAATAACATTGTACTTATATAAAAATACTAAACCTGACCTAATGCTCTTACATCATGCATAACCGACATTATAGTCATTTAAAAAATTCATCAGGAAAACACAGTATTGTATGTAATACATGATAAATATTGTATACTTGAAGGTATTTTCATTTTTAAAATACAAATGTATGATCTAATTTATATAAAAACTCTCATTGCCATGAACCAAGATTAAAAACCATTACATTTAAAAAACACAGCTTATACAGTATTGACTACATTGTTTAACATGATTAAATTTCTACATATTGTTTTATCCATTACAGCCGATGATGATCAAAAGGATAAAGATATCATGGCAGATCATTTACGTTTTCACATGAAATATCTACAAATAATAATGTGTCTTAAATAGCTGATGAAAGCTATTCCACTTTCTGGAATGTATTTTTTTTTTAATTCAGAACCACTGGTCAAAAGGAAATGTCCACCTTTGGGACCAGCATTGTTATTGTGTTTTAGAAACCTGTCTTATCTATTTTCCATCCAATTCAGGCTTGCGTAGGAGCGGGAGTTTATCACTCTAAGCAAAGGCCACAAGGCGCAATACAAACTGGACAGGACACCTGTCCATCGAAGGGCAGACATCCAATACAGTAGACACAAACACTCCCAAACACATTCGCACCAGGGCTCCAGTTTTCCTGGAGGCCAATTAACCTACCAATATGTCTTTGGACTGTGGGAGGAAACTGGAGCACCAGGAGGAAACCTAAGCAAACACAGGGAGAACATACAAACTCCACAAAGACAGCACCCCAGATCCGGAATTGAACCCAGGGCCACAGCACTGCAAGCCAACAATGCTAATCACTGCACCACAGTGCTGCCCCTGTTTTAGAAACATAAGTATCAATAAATACAAGTTCCTTTTTAAAGCAAAATACTTTAATGGTGTAGAACTAGAAGACTGTGTATAAAACGTTTAGCAAAAACTTTTAAACAACACTGGGCCATTCATCAGAAACTAGTCTATAAATGTTAAGTGATTTGAATAAAAATCCCCTTTCTGACATCAGCAAAAGGACATAATTCTATAGACCTGTAACATGTACAGTATGAATAGCAGTTAAAATATAAATTTACAGGCTTTTGCAAGCAACAGACTATCCACTATGTTGTGATTCACTACATTCCATACAAAGGCATGAGTTACATTTGGGAAGAAATATACAAAAATACATAAATTTCAATGATGTACCAATTTGGAGCATTATACTGTTTTCTTTGAGAAAGCTCAAAATTGTAAAATAGTTGTAAAAGCACCACTGCTTTTAGCTCCTGACTACCTGCAGTTCATTATAAAACTGTCCTTATTTTAATAGGAGTGAGTACACTGCACAAAAAGTCTTTGAAGTGACTTTTGTGTGCATTCATGTTGTGCACTTTTACAAGCACATAATATCTTATGAACATATCACTGCTTTCCATCAGCTGCAGACTCATGGAGTGTCTTATTCCAAAATACTATCAGTTGGCTTTCTCAAAGTGGATTCATACAAGCATCAAAGACAAATTTAATACAGCTTAATTCCTAATTTTCATTCAGTTTGATTTGCTCAGGCACGCTTCAACCAATGAAAACCATTTCACCTTAAATGTATGCAGCAGCTACGTTTCTAAGTGAAATATAATTACAGGCTACTTTCATTATTAAAAGCCCTATTTGTAAAATGAAAATTTCCTTCAGTCTACGTTTACTCAATGCATGCGCTGCAGTTAACTGCAGATGAAGTTCAATGAAACAAAAAAAGTTAAAAGCTACTGTAGAATTTAAAGGTGAATCTTAGTCATAATGTCAGTGTGGTTGTTTCTTTAAGGTTAGTTGATATTTAAATTAAATATTTAAGTAAACAAAATCACTTTGTTACATCCTGAAAATGATTGCCTACTGCATGTAACAATTACAACAACATTTTATTTTTATACATACATGAAACCTTTAGAAACATTTTGAAAAAAGCATTATACTGTATATTGCAGAAAATAAAGGATAGTCAGTGTCTATCATTTGGCAGTATAGTTGCACTGTATGAGGTAAAGCGGAAAATGGTTAAAGGACAACTAAAACGGATGAAACCTCTGCAAATCACATAAAATCTGTGCTATACTGTACGTTAGTTAGAAAGAGTGTAAGAAATTTGCCAAGACAGGAAATTATTTTATACAAATTGGCTTTTTTAGATATATGTGGCAGCCTAAGGATGGAAAGAAAAGAATAGTAATATGATTCATTTAGATTTAGCAAATATGGCAATTAATATCGTAGTGAACCAATGTACAGTATTTGCAAAACTTCTGAAATCATTTGAAAAGAATGCCCCATGATCCAAGCAGTTCAGTGAACATTCGCAGATGACTGCAATAACATTTTTACTCTCAAATGGTACTAATCTGGTTTGGGGGAAAAAAAAACATACATAAAGCAACTTAGCCTCGGTCTTTGAAAATAAAGTAGCTTCAAACTTTCTTTTAGTCATTGAAATATAATATTATCTGAAAAGACAAAAACATGTTAAAATTAATCATGGCACACCTTGAACAGATGTGATGAAAATAAGCAACTTCACATACAGTATGTGTGATGAAAACAGGTTGCATATAAGCCCAAGGAACTGTTTGCATTACAGGGCATTCTAGCTCTATCTCTCTAGTGTGAGAAAACAAATGAATAATCAGCAAATTAAAATGTGAATATCCTCTTACTATATTGGAACTTGAACTTTGCTATATGGGTAATTCAAATAAACTGTTTTTAAAAAAGTGTAGAACTCACTATTCTATGCATCTGAAGTTTAAAACAATTACACATATCTGCTGTGAAGATAGATTCTAAATCCTATTCCGTAACTTTTATCTTCATTAACTGCATAAAAATGCAAAAACAAAATCAACATCACTATTGATTTTCTTACCTTTATACTAGTGATATCTAGTCTTCTTTTTCCTACATCATTGATTATTACAATCAAAGCTGTCTTTCGCAACTAAAAATCCTCAATTTTACCTTCCACTGGGAGAAGGCTGAAAAGATTCCGCAGTCACCATCATGTGTATCCACTAACCCAAGAGTGATATGAAAGAGCTATATTGAGGTAACAATGTGGACTCCTGGACAGAGTAATTAGTATGCTCCAGCCATGCTTAGGGAGTATACAACTCCTACACACCATCATTTGTGTTTTGTCTTCTTTTGAATCTGAAGATACATTTTAGTGAGCCGTAGCTCAGTAATGTTAAATGAATTTTTGCAGGACTTCCTAACATAAACAATTCCAACTCTGCAGGCACTCATTCTGTATATAGGAACCTGCACTGTTTGATTGCAAAACGATTGGGGACACTGACTGAAGTAAAAACTTGTTTACTTAGAATTTGACAGAGAAAAAAAAAACCTCCAGATACATTAAAAATAGGTGACTTCGAAAACGTTATTTTTCTCTGTAGCTCTTTGGACTTATTATCCTAGATTGTTTTTCATATATGGTAACCCTGATTATGAAATTACGACAGTGATAAAGCAGAAAACATCTCGAAAGATATACTGAAAACTGTTAAAGATCAAAGCACAGCAAATTCAGTTTTAGCTGGTAATGTGCTCA